CCCTCTGTTGTTGCAGTGTCTGTACTTGCATATCAGTTGCTGTGGCTAGACCTCATGATTTCCCGTGTTTTAAGATATGATAAAGATAAAGATAAGCAATGATGATGATGATGTGATAGTGATGGCGATGCTAATAATTATTATTATTAGGATTATTAGATTATTAGATGATTAGATGATTATGACGATGATGGCGATGATGATGATGATGATGACAATCTTGATGAAAATGATCATGAAAGTGATGAAGATTCGTATATTCCAAAAATATTCCTCGCTTTTTTTTTTGCAGGCTGCGACCAAGGCTGGGATCACGACAAGTCAGAGTTTGAGGAGACGATGGCAACCACGAACGAGTGGTTTTGCGAACGAGAAGACTACACCAACCACGTGTATTCCCTCACATCAGCGGGTAATACCATCGGGACTATAATATTACCCGTGATAGCAGATAGATAGTGAGTATTATGTGCTTCTATTTCCTTTTTTTTTTCATTTCTTTGGATACCCTTTAGGAACAGTGTATGCATTCGTTTTCGATTAAATTCTCAATAGGAAAATATATTTTATTGAAGCTTATAATCCTTATTTAAGGAAGCTGTGATGACTTTGGTCTCTTTGTCAACACGAAAATATATTTCATTGCATCTTATATCTGTATACAAAGAAATTTTAGAAACAATAACGTAAGTATACCGAGTTATACTGTCAGCACGTAAATCTAACAGTATGACTTGATATAGTTCATTAGGCTTCTAAATCAATTTTTAGCATATACTGTACGTATTTAACTAGTTCATTAGGCTTCTAAATCAATTTTTAGACATAATATTACTATTATCCATATACTGTCAACACGTAGATTTAACAGTATGAGTTGGTATAGTTCATTAGGCTTCTAAATAAATTTTTAGACATAATATTACTATTATCCATATACTGTCAACACGTAAATTTAACAGTATGACTTGGTATAGTTCATTAGGCTTCTAAATCAATTTTTAGACATAATATTACTATTATCCATATACTGTCAACACGTAAATTTAACAGTATGAGTTGGTATAGTTCATTAGGCTTCTAAACCAATTTTTAAACATAATTTCACTATTATCCATTTCCGGTAACTTAATAAACACAGCCATACCTTTTTTGTTGATATTTTATACCTTTACATTAGGGTCAGAAATCAATGTTCAATTCTGGTGTCAATTATCAATCCCAGTGTCATAACAGATGAACACGTTCTTCACAGTATAGGTCGCCGGCTGATGTTCTTCGTGGTTCTCGCTGTTCACGCAATTTTCACACTGCCAGTTGCATGGACGACCAACTACGGGCTGCTCCTCTCATTGAAGTTCTTTGCAGGATTAGCATTTGAGACAGTCAATATGATGTCCTATATTACTGGTAGGCTGCGCGCTTTCGTTCTGTTTTTATTTTATTTTATTATTTCATAATTTTTTATACATAACTATATAATTTTATTATATAATTTTACATAATTATTATACATAACTATATAATTTTATTATATAATTTTACATAATTATTATACATAACTATATAATTTTATTACATAATTTTAAATATAATTTTATAAACATAAAAATTATTTCATAATCTTTTTGTTGTTTTTCGTTCATGATTTTGTATTTTGTTATTTCATTTTTGTGTTTTTTTCGTTCATATTTTGTATTTTGTTTTCATTTTTATGTTGTTTTTCGTTCATGATTTTGTATTTGTTATTTATTTTCATGTTGTTGTTTTTCGTTCATGATTTTGTATTTTGTTATTTCATTCTTTTGTTGTTGTTTTTTTATTCATTCTTTTTTTTTCTTTCTTTCATTCATATCTTTATCTGTTTTTCCTTCATTTCTTTCTTTCTTTCTATATTCACTTGTTTCCTTTCTTCATTTTTTTTCACCCTTTCTCTCGTTCTTTCTCCTTTATATATATATATATATATATATATTATATATATTATATTTTTTTTTTTTTTTTTTTTTTTTCTTTTCTTTTCTTTTTTCTTTCTTTTTCTTTTTTTTCTTTTTTTTTCTTTTTTCTTTTTTTCTTTCTTTCTCTCTTTCTTTCTTTCTTTCTTACTGACGGAAGACGATTCTACTTCCCACGAAACAAACTGAAACTCTTGTCTTTTCTCTCTTTCCGTTAAATGTTTCCTTTCATTTTCTTTCATTAATGTAATCAAGGTAGGAAGACTTTTTTAAAAATTCTTTGTCTTTCTTTTTTTTTCTTTTGCGAATGAACTTTCTGCACCAAGAAAATTGAGATCTGGGCCTTAGGGTTCATGTCTTTTATGTGTTCATGTTATTTCATGAACTTATTTCCCGAGAACAAACATTGCCAAAGTTCTTAAGAGATGCACGCCTAAGAACGAGAGAGAGAGAGAGAGAGAGAGAGAGAGAGAGAGAGAGAGAGAGAGAGAGAGAGAGAGAGAGAGAGAGAGAGAGAGAGAGGAGAGAGAGAAAAAAACTTTATATTTTTTCTCTACGAATTAATTTTGAATTGCTTGTCCACGGTAACAACAGTAATTAAAATGATCCTCGTAATACTAGTAATGATGATGATGGTTGCTGATGATGATGATAATGATGATAATGATGATGATAATGATGATGATAATGATGATGATGATGATAATAATGGTGATGGTAATAATGATTATGATAATGGGAATGCGAATGTGCTAATGCTAATGGGAATGAGAATGATGATAATGATAGCAATTATGATAATGATAGTAAATTTGACTATAAAATACTTTTGATGTTTATGGAAATCATATTGATGATATTGATAATAGCAATAGAGATGGTATTCCAAGTTGAAAATGATACTGCTGCTTCTGATGATGATGATAATGAAAATGACTATGGTGATAGATATGATAACAGTGGTAATGACAAAAAGATGATTGCAATGATGATTACGCTGATAATGGCAATGAGAATGATGACTATGATATAAAGGTAATATTGACAAAAATGGTATTGTTGATAGTAATGATATTCAGAGTACTTATAATAATAATAACAATAATAACAACAACAATACTAATCATAACAGCAATGATAATAACAATATATAGAATAATAATTATGATGATAAAAATAATAACAATAATCCTAAAATGTTGGTAATAGGGAAAATATTGCAAGTGTACTGATAATATTAATGGTAATAATGATTAAAACAAAAATCATGACAAAAACATGATGATGATAATGATAATATCAACAACAATAATAATGATTATAATAATAATAATAATAATAATAATAATAATAATAAATAATATAATAATAATAATAATAATAATAATAATAATAATAATAATATAATAATAATAATAAATAATAAATAATAATAATAATAATAACAACAACAACAATAATAATTGTAATAGTAATGATAATAATGATATCACTTATAACGATGATAATAATTACAGTGCTACTAATAATGCTATCAGTGATAACAAGGATAATATGGGTAATTATAATAATAAATAATTGTATTAATCGCAATAACAAATATCATAATGATGATAATAATGGTTAAAATGATAACCTTAATTACGGCAAGGATAATAATAATTATAATAGTAATAGCAACAAAAATTGATAATTATTATTCTCATTAAACGATAATGATAATAAAATTCAATGATGACAATAATTCGATAAAAAAGAATAGTAAAAATAGCAACGATAATGATAATAGTAATAATAATAATGATAATAAGAACAGTAATAGAATAATAATGATGATAAGAAGAGAATAAGAACAGTAATAGAATAATAATGATGATAATAACAGAATAAGAATAAGAATAAAAACAATGATGATGATAACAATAATAATAGTAAGAATTATAAAGATGATATTAATGATTATTCTTCTTATTAAAAATATCGACGCTTCATATATTGCCAAGACGTTCCGCTCTTCTTTTCTTTGTCATCTCTATAATTACTTACTTATTCTTAATCCAAGTTCCTACCTCCCTAATTATCCAAATACTTTTGTATGTAGAAATATCTTTAACATTCCTCCATTTTTCTTCCTAATTCTTAGTCTTCAGTTCCTAGTCCAAGAAAAATACAATTACTATCTCTCTATCGACTCATATAACGCTATATATTCACAAGATGTTCTCGTAATTTCCTATAATTTCTTCTTTATTTCTTTATTGTTTATTAACAGGTTCTAACATATCTGTTTTTTTTTTTTTTTTTTTTTTTTTTTTTTTTTTTTTTTTTTGCACAGGCTCCAACCTCTTGACCTATCCCTCTAAATTCTATTAAAAAAGAAAAATAACCTAAACGCTATATATTTTCTTTATTGTTTATTAACTGGTTCTAACATATCTGTTTTTTTTTTTTTTTTTTTTTTTTTTTTTTTTTTTTTTTTTTTGCACAGGCTCCAACCTCTTTACCTATCCCTCTAAATTCTATTAAAAAAGTAACCCAAACGCTATATATTTTCTTTTTTGTTTATTAACAGGTTCTAACATATCTGTTTTTTTTTCACAGGCTCCAACCTCTTTACCTATCCATCTAATTTCTGTAAAAAAAGTAACCTAAACGCTATATATTTTCTTTATTGTTTATTAACAGGTTCTAACATATCTATCTATTTTTTTTTATTTTTTTATTTATTTATTTATTTTTTTGCACAGGCTCCAACCTCTTGACCTATCCCTCTAAATTCTATTAAAAAAAAAAGTAACCTAAACGCTATATATTTTCTTTATTGTTTATTAACAGGTTCTAACATATCTGTTTTTTTTTTTTTTTTTTTTTTTTTTTTTTTTTCAGGCTCCAACCTCTTAAACTATATCTCTAAATACTATTAAAAATTTAAAAAAGAAACCTAAACGCTAATATTATTTCTTTTATTGGTTTATCTAACTGGTTAACATATGGTTTTTTTTTTTTTTTTTTTTTTTTTTTTTTGCACAGGCTCCATCCAACCTCTTGACCTATCCCTCTAAATTCTATTAAAAAATAAGTAACCTAAACGCTATATATTTTCTTTATTGTTTATTAATTAACAGGTTCTAACATATCTGTTTTTTTTTTTTTTTTTTTTTTTTTTTTTTTTTTTTTTTTTTTTTTTTTTTTTTTTTTTTTTTTTTTTTTTGCACAGGCTCCAACCTCTTGACCTATCCCTCTAAATTCTATTAAAAAAAGTAACCTAAACACTATATATTTTCTTTTTTGTTTATTAACAGGTTCTAACATATCTATTTTTTTTTTTTATTATTATTTTTTTTTTGCACAGGCTCCAACCTCTTTACCTATCCATCAAAAATTCTATTAAAAAATAAGTAACCTAAACGCTATATATTTTCTTTATTGTTTATTAACAGGTTCTAACATGTTTTTTTTTTTTTTTTTTTTTTTTTTTTTTTTTTTTTTTTTGCACAGGCTCCAACCTCTTGACCTATCCCTCTAAATTCTATTAAAAAAAGTAACCTAAACGCTATATATTTTCTTTTTTGTTTATTAACAGGTTCTAACATATGTTTTTTTTTTTTTTTTCTTTACCTATCCCTCTAAATTTCTATTAAAAAGTAACCCAAACGCTATTAATTTAAATATGATACCTTCACCACGTCCAGGTATAGAGTTCCTCGCCCCAGAACGACGCAATACAGGTTGTTTACTTACGTTCCTTGGTTGGACTTTTGGCACGTGTCTGACCTCACTGATAGCTTGGCTGATTCCCGACTGGCGCTATCTGGCAATGATCTCTTGCTTACCGGCGACTTGTGGTTTTCTTTACTGGAGGTGAGTTTTGGTTGTGTTATTGGGTTGTGTATTTGGGGTTGTGGGAGTGTATATCTATCTATCTATCTATCTATCTATCTATCTATCTATATCTATCTATATATATATATATATATATATATATATATATATAATATATATATATATTATATATATACAAAATCCAGGTATGCATGTTTTACGGTGATGACTAATGCCCAAGGCACATCATTATTACATACATTACACAGGTAACGACCATACAGGGTAGGACAACAAACATTTGCGTGCCATAATCAGCATTAACTTCCTATTTATCTAGAACTTAAGGTAAATAAACATTTATAACAGGATTTCGTATATATATATATATATATATATATTATATATATATTATATATATATATATATATATGTGTGTGGGTGTGGTGTGTGTGTGTGTGTGTGTGTGTGTGTGTGTGTGTGTGTGTGTGTATGCAAGAAAGAAAGGGAGAAAGGGGAAAGGGACGGAGCGAGGAGAGTGAAGAGAGAAGGAAGTTTGAAGGGAGTGAGGAAAAAGGCGAGAAGGGAGGGAAGAAGGGCGAAGGTGAGAAAGAACTAGTGGATGTGACGGGCATCAATATAAAAGTCAAGGAGTAATCAACGTAAGTGTATTTAGTAATACACGAGAGAGGGAGAGAGAGAGAGAGGGAGAGAGAGAGAAGAGAGAGAGAGGAGAGAGAGAGAGAGAGAGAGAGAGAGAGAGAGAGAGAGAGAGAGAGAGAGAGAGAGAGAGAGAGAGAGAGAGAGACAGACAGACAGACAGACCAGACAGACAGACAGAGACAGACAGAAGAGAGAGAGAGAGAGAGGAGAGAGAGGAGAGAGAGAGAGAGAGACAGAGAGAGAGACAGACAGACAGACAGAGAGAGAGAGAGCAGAGTGTGAAACATGCAATGCTAAAGTGCCTTACTGATGTGATTGTCTGTTCGGAAGTGATTTGCGAAAAACGAAAGTAAAATCTGCCTTTTTTTAAGTTTCATATCCTTAAGGGAATCGCCTGCTTTTTCGATTTCTTTTGCCGATTTTGTTGAAAACCCTTTTATCTAAACCCTAGCGAGATTTTTGAAACGACCAGAGCGGAATATTGTATATATATATATATATATATATATATATATATATATATATATAATATATATATATATATATATATATATAATAATAAAAATAATAATAATAGTAAAATCAAAAGGATTTGATTTTTGGGATACTTTTTTTTTTCGATTTGACTTTGTTTATGTTTGGGGAATATTTTACCTGGGCGACTATTAGGTGTCTAAAACGTGTTTTTCATATATGTCACTTTTACGAGAATCAACGCATACACACACACACACACACACACACACACAACACACACACACACACACACACACACACACACACACACACACACACACACACACACCACACACACACACACACACACAACACACACACACACACACACACACACACACACACACTGCAACTGTACGCAACATTTTCCAGGTCTTTTATTTATCTATAAAACGAGCCATAATACGTTTTTTCCGACTAAAAATACGTGTCCGAAAGCTTTCGTGCATAAGTTTACTCTCGAAATAACGGCAATAGACGTTTTTTTTCGCATCTTTTCATGATTATTTTTCGTATCAAAATAAAAATACAATATACTCCCCTA